AAAAAAATTACTACAGTCAAAGACACATTGTCATTAATCCCCCTCAAAATACTCCCCATAACTTTGAATACACTCATTCCATCATTCTTTGCCACCTTCTGAAGCAGTTCTGGAAGTCCTCTTTCATGAGTGTCTTTAGTTGCACTGTCTTGGCTACCTCAATGTCCTGAATTAATTTAAAACATTTACCTTTCATGGTCATTTTGACTTTGGGGAAGAGCCAGAAGTTGCACGGTGCCAGATCTGGTGAATAAAGTGGATGAGGACACGCCGTAATGTTTTTATTTGATAGAAATTGCCGTACCAGAAGCGATGTGTGATAGGGAGCCTTTCCGTTGTGATAACAAAATATGGTGAATGCTGCTGCTAAGTACCATTCAATGGAAAGGCAAGGATCTTCAATACGGAAAGCAGAGCATCAAACCTTAGTAACTGTGTGACAAGTTTCAACTTGTTCGGTACAGTCAGTTGTGAGCTACAGTTGAGAGAAGGTGTGTTTTAAAGTGTACTGTAAATCATCCTCCATCATGATAATGCTCCGTGTCATACATCGCTTCAGGCACGACAGTTTCTGTCAAATAAAAACAATATGGTATGTCTTCATTCACTTTATTCACAGGATCTGGCATTGTGCAACTTCTGGCTCTTCCCCAAAGTCAAAATGATTCAGGACCGGGGCGGCCGGGTGGCTCAGTTGGTTAATGCAGTGTGCTCTTAACAACAAGGTTGCCAGTTTGATTCCCACATGGGATGTTGGTCTGTGCCCCCACAACTAGATTGAAAACAGCAACTGGACTTGGAGCTGAGCTGCGTCCTCCTCAACTAGATTGAAGGACAATGACTTGACTTGGAGCTGGTGGGTCCTGGAAAAAACACTGTTAAGCAATTAAAAAAAAAAAAAAGATTAAGGACATCGAGGCAGCCATGACAATATGACTACAGACATGAAAGAGGACTTCTGGGACTGCTTCAGAAAGTGGCAAGAACGATGGGATGAGTGTATTTGAAGCAAGGGGGAGTATTTTGAGGGGCATAAAGGTAATTTAAAAAAATTTTTAACATGCACCATATTGTTTGATTATACCTCGTATATGTTTATAATTGTTATATCTTCTTGATTGAACCTTTTTTGGCTTAAAATCTATTTTGTCTGATAGTAATATAGCCTCCCCCTGCCCCCCAGCTCTCTTTTGGTAATTATTTGCATGGACTATCTTTTTTCATCTTTTTACTTTCAACCTATCTGTGTCTTTGTAACTCAAGTGAGTCTCTTGTAGAAAATATATAGACGGAACATGGTTGGTTTGTTTTTTAAATCCATTCTGCCAATTTATGTCTTTTAATTGAAGCATTTAATTTATTTACATTTAAAGTAATTACTGATAAGGAAAGACTTCTACCATTTACTATTTATTTGTTTTCTGTATGTCTTATATGTTTTTGTTTCTCAGTTCCTCTATTACTGCCTTTTTTTGGTATTTCACTGATATTTTTGTAGTATACCATTTTGATTCTCTTCTGTATATTTTTTTAATGGTTACCTTGGGATTACAATTAATATCTTAAAGTATTAATAACCTAGTTTGAATAATACCAACTTTAGTTTCAATAGTATGCAAAATCTTTAGTTTCAATAGTATATAAAAACTCTGTTCCTATATACCTATGTCCCTTCCCCTTCCTATTGTTATTGTTACAAATTTATAATTACTATTTTATGCATTTGACTTTAAATCATACAGGAAAAAATGAGTTACAAACCAAAAGTACAGTAATATGACTTTTTATATTTATCTATATAGTAACCTTTACCCATGTTTTTATTTCTTTCTTTATTTTTATTTTAGCTTTTACTTCCCTTGCCTTTGAGGTCAAATTCATAAAATCCTCTTTGAACCCAAGGTCCATAAGTTTAGTACTTACGCTTTCTTCTATGCATTTTATTGTGTCAGGTCTTATGTTTAGGTCTTCGATGCATTTTGAGTTAATTTTGGTACACAGTGACAGATAACAGTCAAGTTTCATTCTTTTGCACGTGGCTTTTCAATTCTCCCAGCGCCATTTGTTGAAGAGGCTGTCTTTTCTCCATTATATGTTTTTGGCTCCTTTGTCAAAAATTATCTGTCCATATTTATGTGGGTTTATTTCTGGCTTTTCGATTCTATTCCATTGGTCTGTATGTCTGTTTTTCTGCCAATACCATGCTGTTTTGATTATTGTTGCTCTGTAGTACAAGCTGAAATCAGGGAGTGTGATACCTCCAGCATTGTTCTTTCTTTCTTAGGATTGCTTTGGCTATTTGGGATCTTTTGTGGTTCCATACAACTCTGATGATTTTTTGTTCTGTTTCTTTAAAAAATGCTTTTGGGATTTTGATGCAGATTGCATTAAATCTGTATATTGCTTTGGGTAATATGGCCATTTTAACTATGTTGATTCTTCCAATCCATGAATAGGGAATGTCTTTCCATTTCTTGTGTCTTCTTCAATTTCTTTTTAAAATGTCTTACAGTTTTCAATGTACCATGTCTTTATTTCTTCATATGGCTGCTTCAAGTTACTATCTAGTTTCATTTCATTTCAGCCTAAAGGACTTCCTCTTGCATTTCTTGTAGGGAAGGCCTACTAGTAATGAATGC